GGTCCCATCTGTTTTCAGACGCTTTGTTTGTTCCTCAGAAAGCGGCATTGCGTAAGTTAACCCACCCCTACCCGCGCAGAGCTGGAATGTCCTCACGAAAGGAGGGGCCAGTTGCGTCCCGACCCAAAAACCCACTTGAGCTTGAGTCAAAATGGCCTTGAGCCAAACATTTACTCCTTGTCCCATATGCCTGCTGAGTTTGGCAGCAGTAGGCGAGGCTTGGGCGGTAGCTCATCAAAGCTTGCTGTGCCATGCAGCGGGAGGCAGAGCAACTTCGCGGCGAACGCCTTGGCCGCGGCGGACGCAAGAAGGCTGCCCATCGCCGGGCACATGCTGCGACACAAGCGCCCCGCAACCACGGAGGCACAGAAGAACGCGCACGACTACGCGTGAGGAGCCGGATAAACCTCCGGGCCTCATCGCTTCCCGGCTTCAAGGCCGAGGACAACCAAGCGGCAGTGGGGTGCATGGAAAAGCTCGGGGTAGGTGCGTTCCGTAGCTATGCGTGCGATGCGGAGGGCAGCTCCACAGGCGCTGCGCGCAAGGGTGTGAGGGCGGCCCTGGCTTCCAAGTGCAGAAACCAGAGTGGTGTCGACGGCAGGCGGGACACCGCCCCATGCTAAGACTTTGGGTTTCGACGCTTATCATGTGCCCGGTAGCACTGCTTGGGATGGTCCACCTGGTGCCTGACTTTGCTGAGATGACTGGAGAACAGGCGCGGCTGGCTAAACGGGATGTGCCACAACCAAACTTGCTACAGATCTACGTTTGGTTTGCATGGTGTTTGGAACTGAGACAAGCAAAGCCATTGCCAGCACATGCCCGCACGGGCATGCCACGGATATTTTTCAAGCTCTTGCTAGCCATCTCCAGCCTTCAGTTCGGGACCAGTCTGCGCTTTCGAAACCTGTCCAAGTCCGTATGGTTTCTAAGTCAACAGCATACGCTTGCTCAGCAATTGTAGGAAGCACATTGCAGGCCATAGCAGCCATATCGCATCATGACTCATAATTTCCCATCTGGTCGTGATATCTTGGGCCAAAGCGGCCACAACAACGTTTTGTCTGACCTTCCGGCCCTCTGTGGCACGATTTGCGACACATCTTTACTTCGCACTTCCATGCCTCCACCAACTTCCTTGCCCTCGACAGCGGTTGGCACAGGCCACGGCCCAAAACGTCATTGAAATCCAACTTTGGCCTACCGCACCATTTTATATTCGGGGACCCCAGCCGCCCCATTCAAAAAATTAAAACGGAATCGTGTTCCAGAATATCCTCCCATTTCAAGAGTGTGTGCAGCATGTTGCAATTGTTGTTGGTGTTGATGCTGGTTGGCATTTCTCAGCCACGCTTTCGCGCTGGGACAGTGCATGGCGTGGCAGGCGTGGTGGGGCACAAATCACACAACCGGACACGTGCAGTTATATAGCTGAGTGTGATGGATTCAAATTCCATTCTTGCCCTTCCTTCGGGGTGCAAAGTCCGGAAATGGTTGTTTTTGCGATTCTAGCTGACCATGGACGTAATTTGGAACTGCGCGAGGTGAGCCATGGCGCCGGAAAAAAAGAAAGTGAAAAGCCCAAGGCGGGTAGCAGGTTGCCAATGTTGCTTGCTGTCTGAGCCGGAATGCCATCGCCCCTGTCTGTACAGATTGGTGGACAGGATCCCAAAGAGCCCGAGCATCCCAAAGATCAAGAGCCCAAAACTTCGTGAGAATCCGAAAGTCAAGAACGACCTGAAGGCGTGGATGCACCGTGTTGGTCTCATGTGTGTTGGGGTCATGGGAGGACAAGCCAAAGAAGAATGTTGGCGGAAAAGACAAAAGGCTTGGACGCGTGCATTGCAATATCGTGTCAGCGTATGCAGATGAACCTACGTGGACACAAGCGATTGTAGCCGGCATACATGGTACCTTGTGCAATGTGCAAGGACCAAGCGTCCGGAACGGGTATTGTCATTGAATCGGCATCTTGGTTGCATCAAGTCAAATTTGGATCGTTGTCAAATCATTTGTCGATGCATTCATTTTTTTTTTTCGAGTCCATGTGGCAAGCACAAGCCGTGTTTGTCCAACATGCGGCATGTGTTTCAGCAGATTTTTTGATGTATGACAGCGGGTGTCAGATACCAGATGGTGCAAGCTGATGATTGCAAATTATTTGCCATTACATGGATTGCAGGTCAAGGCCTATGGTGTACACATGATGCAAACTATGTACTGGTCATTTGATTTCATGAATTTGCCGTGGAAACCGTATCCTGAAACAAAAATGGCTTTTCGTGTACAAACTCGCCAAGTTGATTATCTACCAGGTATTCGTTGCGTGATTGCAATCCCATCAATGTGAGCCCACCAGGAAGATTTTCTTAGCAATCCGCTGTGTCGTGCCGGGCGAATCGACTGTCAGGGCCTCAGAACAGGCTCTAAACTATTTGCTTGAACATGATGTTGTTTGCTTGTACATAACTTGGTGTTGGGGTCACGGCTGCACCGCAGGTGTCAAGCACTGGCATATGCGTGGAGGAAAAGGCTTCCAGATTTTTTTCAGCTTGAAATTTGTCATGAAGTGCATCGCAAACGAACGACTGTTATAATTTCAGGAGCAAGTTCTCGCAAATGCAAACGTCATGGAATGTGTGCAAGACATGATGTGCCGTATTTGACCTTATGGAATTCCAGATGCACAAACCATCACAGCAATTATTCTATGTCAGGCCGTTTTACGGAGCGTATTGGATTGCTGGGTGACCCTGGCGATTTTGCAAGCCCACATGCAGAACTTGCCGCCATTTTGCCCATGCATTTTATAAGATGCACATGTTTAGTGGTCGTTCACGAGCATATCCTGGTCACAGCGCTTTCCCTTGCAAGCTTCTGTTGGACTAGCAAATTGGGTTGCGACTGATGCTGTAGATGTTGCCCACTTGAGCCAGGCTTCAGGAATTCTGCATGGGCAGCCCTTGCCGAAGGAGGTCTGCGAATGTTGTTGAGTTGTGCTTGTTCAATCTGCGATTGTCTTCAACATGCTGACGTCAATGTTTTGTCAGTGGCTCTTTGTTAGGTATTCGTCCCTTCGATGCATGGCATACCCGTGTTTTCATGCAAGTCGCTGGATTTACACAAGCCGCAAGCAGGTACTGAGCAAATTTCCGGTATCATGAGACCTACCAACAGCATCAGCCAGTATGAGAATCATGTTGATGGAGGCGTTTGCGGGTGCTTGCAATGGCAAGGACTAAAAAGGTCGCCACAGATGGGGCCTTGCTCAACAAGAGGCGGCTGAAAAGGTCATTGACGAGCAAACTTGCTCCAAAAACGGCACCAAATAAAGACACAAAAGCAGTGCCAGCAGCAAAACCGTTGGTGCCAGCCAGCGGTCCAGAAGTTGCACGCGACAACAGCCAAGGCGAGGAGCCAGTATCTAGCAACTCTGAAGCTGCGAAGGTTGGTCCACCTCCGCCTGAAACCCTTCCCGGGAAGAAAAAGGAGCCAGAGTTTGTCTATGTTGATGATTCCGATACGGATGTCGGGTCTGAGGAGGACTGATGTTTTGCTGTGGTCAAATGTTCGAAGCTCATCATTTGGCTGAATATCAGTCAGGCTTGCCATGCAAAAACTGCATTGTGATCCCCAAGCTGGCCCAAGCTGGACAACTTGAGCTGGACTTCATGCACGCAATTGTGGCAAGGACCCGGCGGCCCCTTTCTCGCGCGTCAAGCGAAACCGGTACCTGCAGTACCACTTGTCAAAGGCACCCGCGGTAATGCGCCTTGGGTAAATGGGATGAGTGCTCGCATATACTGCTTGGCTTTATTCTGGGGATGGACAAGTGTCGTGAATTTTCGATCATTCATGTTTCTTTAACATTCAAGAAATGATTGCCTGTGTGTGATTGCAGGGGGAGCGGTAAGACTTTGCGTGCGGGATGATGGTCTAGACGGCACAGCCGTTTGTTCAGGCCTGCCTGATGGGCAGCATGTTCGTTCATCGGCTGAGAGACATTCAGAACCATGCAGGCCATGACCAACTTCAAGCGCAGCAGGAAGGCTCGAAAGCAGCCGAAGCCGATACTCGAGCACCTTGCACAGGATTAGTTAGTCCTTCGGCAACCCATGCATGTTCTGGTAGTGGGGCTCGTTGTTGCTTCTGATGTGGGATGTGCGCGCCTTCAGTTACGCGTTTGACTTCTGTAAACTTCTGCTCCTTCAGCATGTCTTTCTAAGTAGTCTAAACTTTCTGTTTCCACGCTTCTTGTGGCTGCTGCCGTGTACCAGCCCAAATCCACACAAACATTTTGCACACCGCGAATCCAAGTCAGTCTGCACCGATCTTGGCGGGCATTACTGCGCAATCAATTCAAGGCTAGCCAAGTGCAAACTACCCCACCGTTGTTTACAGCAATTACGTAAGTCACCAACACTCATGGACAGCGTGACAGAAGTCCTTGACAGAAGTCCTTCTTGCATCAATACCTTTTCTTTCGGGGACCACATAAATCTGAGAGCTGTATTCTTTTGGCCTCAAGTTGTTTGAGCCTAAAGGCTCGTTACTTGTTTGACGAAAGAGTGTCAGCAGAGTTTCACAAGAGGACTCGCCACAAGAATTCTTTGGTATAAAAACAAGGGCGTTCGCGCCTGGCGGCTTGCCGTCGTCCCCAGTCGCAAAGCAAAACCAAAAGACATGTGGCAAGCCGTAAGCGTTGAAAACCAGACAAGTTTTTGGATGTTCTTGGCATTGCTGGCATCAGTTTTGTGCAGCTGACTGTGGAAGGATCTCAGGGCAGGGTGCCAGCGCCTGGGAATGTCCCAATCGAATCAGAAAAACAGAAACGCAGGGCTTTGTGGATCCCTTTCTTCAGCAGTCATTTACAAGGACTTCATGTTCAGGATAGGGTTGGTGCAGACTGGCGTTGCCAGTGCAGCGGGACTCTTGTCCCTCGCGCCTGCAGACAGACAAAACGAGTGGTAGCACTGACAAAGATGCGAGATGCGACGATTCATTCGAATCACCAGAGATGGAGAGGGGAGAGGCAATCTTGTCTCATTAGATCTTTGCAGCGTCTTGTAGCATTTGGAGCTTGGAGTTCATGTGGGTGCTGCAGCTCTCTAGGAACAAGAATCTTGGCAGTCGGAGTGCGTCACCTAAGTCTGGACTGCATTTGATTCCAAAAACCTGAGATGGTCAGCACTCAGGCAGGGAATTGTTGGTTGTGAACTAGCTGATGTCCTTCAACTTTCCCTGCTGTACATCGATACTGGAAGAGTGGACATTGATTTGAAGCCTCTAGGTACCACATCGATCCCAATCCTCACCCTGTGCGCGATCTACCGAAGTCCATGTTCGCGGTGCGCCGGGCATAGCGGGGGGAACCTTTAGTGGCAGTGTGATTGTTTCCATGTGTACCAGACCTTCCAGGACCCACGGCATTTGGCAGATCGGACTGTGAGGGAGAGGATGGCGCCAAAGAACCTGCACACGATCAGGACTTGATGTTTTTTCATCCGCTGCTTATTGTGCAGCCATGGTTCAAAGTGCTCCTGGCATCCGTATAATTGCAATTCAACTGTTGTCTCCCAGAGCTCTAGCGAAACCCCGTGGTTTTTAAGACAGCATGAAGCGAGCTGTGTAATGCAAATTGGGCATTCCAGCTTGCAGTCCCCAAGCCTCGGCAAATCGACTGCAGCTCTCTGAAAGCACTGGGATTCTGTAGGAAGCTCATCTTCCGCGACAAACTTCAGCTCGAGGTCATAGAACGGAAGTGGAGCAAAGAGGAGTGCCAGAGGCATAGATTCAGCTGCATATGGACCATCACGACATGTGCTAAAGCATCAGCGAAGACTGCCGATGGGCTGTCGCCCCAACACCCCCTCGTGCCAAGCCAAACCAAGTCAAAGCCCCCTACAAAATCCTGAAAGTCCAGGGTTATATTAGTTGTTGGATGTTGTTGGGTCTGTCAAAGTTTGCAGTTGTCGCCCTTCAGCCTTTTGGGGCCCGGTGCCTCCTCAGGAGGACCAGTCCTTGACGAACACCGTTCGGCAGCAGCTGGTGGAAGATCTCTTCCGGAAAGTTTGAGCCTCAGAGCGCCTGGCTTCGCCACTCCCATTTCAACCTCGTCACGTGCAATGACAGGGCTACAAGGAGAGAATGAGGACTATGACGCCACGCGATCGAGCCAGATGGTTTATCGAACAGCAGGAAAACCTTATGACGACTCCAACGCAGGCCGCGCTACTGAGCTGTAAGGTCAGAGTCCTCAGGAAGTGTTGGTGTGCTTGGAGTATCAGATGCCTGGGCTACCTAGACTGTTACGTGAACTTCTTAGGCCAGTGTCAGGCAGGTGGACTGTAGCTGGCTGTGTGCAAGAGGCAGCTTTTGAGAAAGCTTGGCAGCGCCCTTGATTTCCGGAGAGTTTTGCCAGAGTTTCCACGTTCCGGCTGTGCTATTCCAATCGTTCCATCGCCTGATGTGCAAAGCGCCCGGAACATTCATGAAGAAAATGACCCCCGCAGATGTCTTGTTTGGGATTTCTGCGGCGTGCTCGGCGGCAGAGTCAGGAGCTGTGGAGGCAGATGCGATTCTGGTGCGACTGGGGCAAAGTGATGCTCGGCTTTAAAGCTGAAGTTGTGCATCCTACGTTTGAGCAGCTTAGATTTCATTAGCTGCCGGGACCAGCGATGTTGTAGCGCCCAAGGTGTTCGGCACAAGTCGCTTACGAAGTTCTCACTTGTGCTTTGTTGCTGGAGTTGTTGTCACTGCTGGCCGTGCATTTCAATTGTCGAAGCAGTGGTGACTGTGCCTGGTAAATTCCGTGCCTGAGGCATCGTCGTCACAATTCTCTGGGTTTCCGACGCAGCAGACGCGAGGTGTACGTGAGGTACAGTGAGAAGTGACTTGTTTCCAGCGAGTTGTTGCAAACAGTGAACAGCATCGGGAAGTTTTTGCATGCACATCAATACGAGATGTGTTGACAGCTGGCCCACTGATAAAAGCATGGCTCAAGCAAGATGCGCAACACACCTGCACCTGTAAGCCAGTGCAAATCCTGAGGCTTTACGAAGCGCTTCAGACTGGAAGGTTCACAAAGGAGGAGGCACCCGAGTCAAGCTATTGGCTTGACAACCTTTAAGTCTTTTCAAATCAAGCATGATGCCGGTGAGGACAAGCAGCTCCTCGAGTTGTCCACGAAGTTTAAAGGCAATCGTCTTGCAGATGTCAGATTTGATTTGCCCTTTCTGCTAATTCACTGGCGGTCCTTGGAATGAACGTGCCGATGCTTTGCGGCTTGTTTAGAGGTGCCGTTGTTCTTTTTGATAAGCTGCAGCCCCAAATGAATACAGGGCAAGCTGTAGCAGACATAGCTTACCACTATGTCCCTATGTGACACAAGTGAAAGGATGAGTTCCAACGTCTTGGCCATACTGTAAGACAAGCTGCACAAGATGTGACCATGAAGGATATCAATGGGACATGGTCGCTGGCTGGATGGACAAGGCGCGCAGCCCCTGGTCTTGCTTTTGCAGCTTGGCATAATCGGACATTAGGAAAGCAAAGGTCTTGGGGGCACTGGGTACGGTCCATGACTTGGCTTTTGTACTGGGATGTCATCCGCGCATCCTTGCTGTTGAGTGGTTGTCGAAGAAATGATGTCAAATGCCATTTCGCTGAGCTTTGAACAGTCATTGCTGGGAGTCTTGGCATGACGTGCCTTGGCCAGCTTCAATTTAGATCTTGCCAGGCAGGTGCAGTGCCGTGTTGATGCAACCGAAGAGCCAAATTTAATTTGTGTAACCATTGAATACTTAGGCCGCTACCAACAATCCTTGCACAATGGCATCGTGGGTCACCTGTGGTCGCAGTGCCTCTGCGAAGTGCTCGGAATCGACGGGCTGTCTTTGATTTCTGATTGTTCGTTCAATAGGAAGCAGGGAAGCCTAGAGCATTCTGTTCGTCTTCAGCAGACCAAGCAGGGTTAAGTCAAGGGCACGTGAGGAGGGATGTGTTCCGGTCATTTCAGGCTGCCTCAGATTCTTGGGCCAAAAGGGGAGCTTTGGTACTGTAGTGTTGCAGTAGGTGACATCAACAACATTCAAGAAGAGCAGCAGCATCAACAATACCAGTCAGGCTGTAGCAGCCATTGCGCAAGTCAACAGTTGGACATGTGGTTGCCTCAGGCAGGAGGTGCAGGAGTTCGCCAGGGCCACAGAAGAGATTGGCTATTCTGTCGACGGGACTGATAAGGAGCCTTTGGGAAGGTACTGTATGTTGTCACTTCTTGCGCCTGCATTTTTATGAGCATAAGGGAGCCCACCAAAAAAGTCGTTGCGGTGATGGTGGTGGCTGGCCGAGAGTCAATAACTCATGACATGGTTTTGGCAACTGTAAGTTTTGGACTTCATTGGGTGATCTCGAAGCAAGGGATTCAATTAATTGCTCTCCCGGGTGCAACTGGTGCAACAACCATGGGCACAGAAGAAGACGTTACTAGTCCCAAAAAAGGCGCAGCCTTTTGAGGTGGTTGGTAGCAAATCGCAGAATTTTTGGCTTGCATTTCCTGGCCAATGTCCAAAGCCAAGCCCAAGCACAGCAAAGGGATTCAATTCAAAAGTTGAATCTCATCCGGGGTGGAAGCTGGTGCCCCGAAGACGTGTGATCGCAACTTCGCCAGACAAACCTCTGGCGTCCTGGCGCCATTTGTTGCATTCCGCTGCGATTTCAGCAGATTCTGTGCTTTCAAAAGAAGTTACGTGTTATTGCGGAAGCACGCCGTGGATGTTTTCGGTACTTTCAAACTACTCTTCATATTTCCCTCATGCTACTTGTCGGCCATCCGGTCCCAGCCTCACAGCATGTAGATAGCTCTAGACTCTAGACGGAAATTAACAACGTGCGGCTGACAACCCCTTCACGGCCGCATTCGCCAGACGGGCTTATAACAAAAAACACAACCACAAGAAGCGATTTGTTCCTGCATTTATTCATTCCGCCGGTCAGTGGCTCATTCAAATTTTCAACATGTGTTCAATTCTATAATTCTTTGAATCATGCAATCATGCAGTCCTTCCCACATTTAACCAT